AATTACTAATCAAATTGCATTCTGTTATCAATGCTTAAAGGCACATGCAAACATAACTGCAGTCTAGGTCATTTTACAGATCTCTCACCCCATATGCCAAAAGTCACAGAAACTATTTTTTCCAATCCTTTTCCCCAACTATCTGGGGATGATGGGGCTTTAGATGGATACTGAACACTTCCCAAAACACTGGATCAGGGATGGTTGCTCTATGGCAGGCACGGGCAAACTTCGGCCCTCCAGGTGTTTTGGATTTCAACTCCCACAATTCCTAACAGCCTGTTAGGGATTGTGGGAGCTGAAGTCCAAAACCCCTGGAGGGCCAAATCTTGCGCATGCCTGCTCTATCCTCATCCAAAGCAGGCTCCTTTTCTCCAGCTGTCTGCAAGCTGCGCCAGGAGTTGCATCACACCGGAAGACCTAAAACAGGCTGGTCACGAGATATCGAGCCAGAAGAATGAATGAATGGGATGATGCAGGGTTTTTTCCTCCCACTCGCAAGCAATTCAGCTCAGCGTTGCTTAGGAGAATTACAGTCACTTGGGGATTTTTTAAAGGCAATATAAAAAAAGGAGGGATTAGATTAGAATTAACCCAAAGGCAAATGTCTGGAGTCATTCAATCAGTCAGGGATGACAGGAAAAAAGCCGGGGCAGAATAATGCCAGACTTGCTTTATGGAATTAGGGAGAGAATTGAGATATGATCCAGCCTGGAGTTTCATTAGATCAGGCATGGCCATATAGCCTGAAAAACCTACAACAACCCATTTGTGAGGACTATTTGGAAACTAGGCAAGTGGGGTTTATATACATGTGGAATGTCCAGGATGGGGGAAAGTACTCCTGTCTGTTTGAGGCAGGTGTGAATGTTGTAATCAGCCATCTTGATTAGCATTGAATAGCCTTTCAGCTTCAAGGTCTGGCTGGCTGCTGCCTGAGGAATCTTTTGTTGGGATGTATTAGCTGGCCCTGTTTGATTCTGTTCTGGATTTCCCCTGTTTTTTGAGTGTTGCTCTTTATTTACTGTCCTGATTTTAGAGTTTTTTAAATGTTGGTAGCCAGATTTTGTTCATTTTCATGGTTTCTTCCTTTCTGTTGACATTGCCCACCTGCTTGTGGATTTCAGTGGCTTCTCTGTATAGTCTTGACATGGTGGTTGTTAAGAGTGGTGGTTGTTAAGCACTGGGACTGTGGCGCAGTTCGCTGGGAGTCAGTTGCATTAAGATCACTACTGAACAAAAGATCATGAGTTTGAAGCCAGCCAGGGTTGGAGTGAGCCTCTGACCAATTTGTGTAGCTTGCTGTCAACTTTTGCAGCCCGAAAGACAGTTGCATCTGTCAAGTAGGAAATTTATATACTGCTTATGTTGGGAGGCTAATTTATGATGCCATAAAAATCTCCAGCAAGCATGCAAAGAATGAGGAAGTACTTCATCAGTGTCACAAATGGACGGTGAAGCGACAGCTCCCCTGGTGGCCAGAATACCCTCATGAAAAAGCTGGAATGTTAAATAGCCTCTGTGTGTCTGTCTATATATATTGTATGTCTATGGCATTGAATGTTTGCCATGTATATGTGCATTGTAATCCACCCTGAGTCCCTGCAGGGTGAGAAGGGCGGAATATAAATACTGTAAATAAATTAATTAATAAAGAGTGGTCCAGCATGTCTGTGCTCTCAAAAAGTCAGGAGAGAATGCTTCTGGAAAATGGCCATGTAGGATTGTGGTGAAAAGGATGCTCCAACCTGACTTGGTGACAATAGGGGACCCTGGGGAAGATGCCATGGGATAAGATGGGTTGGTGGTGGGAGGATGTTCCTAATGATGAGACACTTTGGAGTCGGGTCTCGATGCAAGTTCCATTTCCATAATACACCTTTTACAAATACCCTAAAGCTAGATCTTTGCACCCATGGAACTATCAGAAAGGAAAAGGGAGTTGCCACCTGAGCCAGCCCATGTGGGACTGCAGAGGCAGGATGCTCACAATGAGGCACTCCTGGGGAGGAAGATGCCATGGGGTGGGTTGGCTAGTCACTCTATGGCGCGACTGCCTGGACCAATGGCGAGGAGGGTCCCTTTCCTCCTTCCCCTCCCCCCCTCCTCTTCTCTTCCATCGCCATGCGAGGCGTGCGCAGCAGCCTCACAGCCGAGGAAGGGAGAGGCGGAGCCGCCGATCAGACAGGGAGCATCTCAGGTCACCCGCATGGCTGCGAAGTGACTTCCCTCCGCCGGAAAACGTGGCTCTCTCGACAGTGAAATCTCACTGACATCCACAGCTCAAGGCTTTGGAAACCAGGAAAATGTACATACAGGAGAGACACTCCCAAAGACTGAAAGAACCTGGGGCAGTTCAATCCAAAAGGTCCTTTACTCCCCTCTCCAAAACGAGCCTTCTTTTTACGCATGGCTTGGAAGAGGCGCGTCTCCAACGTTAGGATCCCATGGCATGGCAGAAAGAACATGGGGGCAGTTCAATCCGGGCTCAACCCGCATTATTTCTAACCCTCAAGCCTGAGAAAAGAAGCAGGAGAGAGAAAGGCGTCTCCAAAGAGTCCTTTTCTCTCCCCTTTTTACGCATGGCTTGGAAAAGGCGCATCTCGCATCTCCAACGTTAGGATTCCATCCCATGGTAGAAAGAACACGGGGCAGTTCAATCCGGGCTCAACCCGCATTATTTCTAACCCTCATGCCGGAGAATGGAAGCAAAAGGGAGAAAGGGGAGAGAGAAAGGCGTCTCCAAAGAGTCCTTTTCTCTCTCCTTTTTACGCACGGCTTGGAAGAGGCGCATCTCGCCCCTTTTACGCACGACTTTGGAGACGTTTGGATCCATTCTAGAATATGACACCCTCCTCGAACGCCTTCCCATGTTTGCTCCGGAGCCTTTTAAAGGCAAACCCACGAGGGATGATTAATTACCCACGCGAGGCGAGCGGGAAGGAAAGGAAGGAGAGGAAGCCCAATCTGGGAAAGCATGCCGGCATTTTACGCACAAGGACCGCCGCCGCTCTCAAAGAAAGGCCTCACGCCCCCATGGCACAGAATTAGAGAGATGGAAGGCACCCCAAAGGACACCCAGCCCACCCCCGACAATACAGGGAAGCACAATCAAAGCGCCTCCGAAAGATGGCCGTCCAGATTCTTGCTTCAAAACCCCTAGACTCAGAGGAGATTCCACCAGACTCTTTTTAGTATGAGGAAATTCTTCCCAATGCTTAGATGGAATCTCTTTCCCCAAATGCAACACCCTTTCAAGTATTTATAAACACGTGTCTTTCTTTTCTCCTAGCTGAACATCACCATCTCCTCATAGAGCTTGCCTTCCAAAACCTTGGACCATTTTGGCTACTTTCCTTTGGACACAATCCTTATTGAGAACTAGACATAGGGTACTATTCCAAGTGAAGTCTGACCAAAGCTGAATAGAGAGCAACTAGGACTTCCCACATACAGATACTGGATTGCTGCGAGTTTTCCGGGCCAATGTTCCAGAAGCATTCTCTCCTCACGTTTCCCCCACATCTATGGCAGGCATCCTCAGAGGTTGAGGGGTCTGTTAGAAACTAGGAAAGTGGGGTTAATATATCTGTGGAAAGTCCATGGTGGGAGAAAGAACTCTTGTCTGAGGCAGGTGTGAATGTTTCAACTGGCCACCTTGATTAGCACTGAATAGCCTTGCAGTTTCAAAGCCTGGCTGCTTCCTGCCTGGGGGAATGCTAATCAAGCTGACCAATTGCAACATTTGGAAAGTCAAGTGGGATTTGTATATCTGTGGAATGGTGTTCAGGATGGGAGAAGGAACTCTCTCCTCTGCTAGAGGTAAGTGTGAATGTTGCCACTGGCCACCTTGGTTAGCATTTAATGGCCTTGCAGCTTTAAGGCCTGGCTGGTTCCTGCATGGGGGAATCCTTTGTTGGGATGTGATTATCTGGCCCTGATTTATTCTTGTCTGCTTGAGGTAAATGTGAATGTTGCCAATGGCCAACTTGGTTAGCATTTAATGTCCTTGCAGCTTCAAGGCCTGGCTGGTTCCTGCATGGGGGAATCCTTTGTTGGGAGGTCATCAGCCAGCCCTTATTCTTATCTGCTTGAGGCAAGTGTGAATGTTGCAATTGGCCACCTTGATTAGCCTTGTAGCTTCAAAGCCTAGCTGCTTCCTGCCTGGAAGGGGGTCCTTTGTTGGAATTTGAAGCTCTAAGGCCATTAAATGCTAACCAAGGTGTATATTCTTGTCTGCTTGAGGCAAGTGTGAATGTTGTGATTAGCCACCTTGATTAGCTTTGTAGCTTCAAAGCATGGCTGCTTCCTGCCTGGAAGGGGGTCCTTTGTTGGGATTTGAAGCTCCAAGGCCATTAAATGCTTACTGCAACATGCACATTTGCCTCCAGCAGTCAAAAGTTCTTTCTCCCACCCTGGGCATTATTCCAGAGATATGCAAACACCACTTGCCTGGTTTCCAACAGACCTCACACACCTCAGAGGATGCCTGCCATAGATGTGGGCGAAACGTCAGGAGAGAATGCTTCTGGAACATGGCCAGACAGCTCAGAAAACTCGCAACAACCCAATAACGCCCGACATGAAAGTCTTCCGACAATACAGATGCAGCCCTTACTTGCCTGGCTTCCAACAGACCTCACACACCTCTGAGGATGCCTGCCATAAATGTGGGCGAAACGTCAGGAGAGAATGCTTCTGTAACATGACCAGACAGCTTGGAAAACTCACAGCAATCCAGTAACGCCGGCCATGAATGTCTTCCGACAATACAGATGCTATTTTCCTATGGATGCAGCCCAGGATCGCATTGGCCGCTTTAGCTGCTGTAGGACAGCCTTGGCTCAGTTTAAAGACTCCAATAAACGGGTGATCCTGATTTCCCCCAAAAGAAACACAAACGCCGAGGTTGCAGGCCACGAGAAACGTGCCAAACCTGTCCAAAGGGGAGACCCCAACCCTTCCCCGTGGGTGCACTCCTCCCTTGAAGGGCTACTCACATCGGTGGGGCAGGGCCGGGTGGTTGTCCGGCGGGAGCCAGATCTTCTGGATGCGGCTCTGCGTCAGCTCCATGGGCATCTTCCCCAGCGAAGGCTCCACCTTTGGGGGTCGCGGGAGAGGAGGGAAACGGAGGGGAGTGGGTCAGAGTCCCCGCAAGTAAGGAATCAACCAAGGTTGGGGGGTCTTCTTCTCCTCCTCCTTCTTGGTCCTCTTTCCAAGCCTCTCCTGGGGTTGCAAAGGTGCCCCAAGCCTCTCCTGGATGATGGGTCCTTGTTGCACCAATACTTTTGCCAAAATAAATAGATCTATTTCCCTTTGGATGGGAAGGGGTCCCTCAATTGAGAGGGAATGCCTTGCCCAAAGGAGGGTGGCGTTGCTGCTTCCTTTGCAGGATTGAGACTCAAGACTGGCTGCCGGCTTCCCAGGCGCGGCTTTTTCAATGGGTGAGAAGCCCCGTGACGTCACGGGCCCCGGACTCCGCCCCTCCCTCCCTTTTCAGAAAGGGAGGGGGCATTTTTGGAGAGCTCACGTTCTCAAGGAAGGAAGGAGGGAGGAAGAGAGGGACTCACTGCTGCCCCCTTCGGGCGGCGGGAGGAAGCGAAGCCGGGGCTTGTCAATCAAAGGAAATCCTAGGTTCTTGTCAGTTTTTTCGGGCTATATGGCCATGTTCTAGAGGCATTCTCTCCTGACGTTTCGCCTGCATCTATGGCAAGCATCCTCAGAGGTAGTGAGGTCTGTTGGAGTTAGGAAAAAGGGTTTATATATCTGTGGAATGGCTGGGGTGGGGCAAAGAGCTCTTCTCTGCTGGAGCTAGGTGTGAATGTTTCAACTGACCACCTTCATTAGCATTTGAAGGCCTGGCTGAGCCTGGGAAAATCTTTTGGTGAGAGGTGTTAAGATGTGCCTGGTTGTTTCCTCTCTGCTGTTTTGCTGTTGTAATTTTAGAGTTTTTTAATACTGGTAGCCATTGAAATCCACAAGCATGTGGACAATTTCAACAGAAAGGAAGAGACCATGAAAATGAACAAAATCTGGCTACCAGTATTAAAAAACTCTAAAATTACAACAGCAAAACAGCAGAGAGGAAACAACCAGGCACATCTTAACACCTCTCAACAAAAGATTTTTCCCAGGCTCAGCCAGGCCTTCAAATGCTAATGAAGGTGGTCAGTTGAAACATTCACACCTAGCTCCAGCAGGGAAGAGCTCCTTGCCCCACCCCAGCCATTCCACAGATATATAAACCCATTGTCCTAATTCCAACAGACCTCACTACCTCTGAGGATGCTTGCCATAGATGCAGGCGAAACGTCAGGAGAAATGCCTCTAGAACATGGCCCTATAGCCCGAAAAAACCCACAAGAACCTAGTGATTCCAGCCATGAAAGCCTTCGACAATACATCAAAGGAAATCCCTCCCTGCCCCTCAACTCTCATCTAATTCTGCTTTGTGGAAGAGAAAGACTTTTGTGAAACTACGTCTCCCAGAGAGAGAAGGTCTCCCCTAAACTTTACTAAACTAAAGCTCTTTGGTGGAGAAGGACAAAGCCCTTGTGAAACTATATCTCCCAGAGAGGAGAATGCCTCCCCTAATCTTTACCAAACTAAAGCCCTTGTGAAACTACATCTCCCAGGTAGCAGAATGCCTCCCCTAATCTTCACCAAAATAAAGCTATTTGGTGGAGAAGGACAAAGCCCTTGTGAAACTATATCTCCCAGGGAGCAGGATGCCTCCCCTAATCTTCACTAAACTAAAGCTCTTTGGTGGAGAAGGACAAAGCCCTTGTGAAACTACATCTCCCGGGGAGGAGAATGCCTGCCCTGATCTTCACCAGACTGAAGCCCTTATGAAACTACATCTCCCAGGGAGGAGAATGTTTTCCCTAATTTTCACCAAACTAAAGCTCTTTGGTGGAGAAGGACAAAGCCCTTGTGAAACTACATCTCCCGGGGAGGAGAATGCCTGCCCTAATCTTCACCAGACTGAAGCCCTTATGAAACTACATCTCCCAGGGAGGAGAATGTTTTCCCTAATTTTCACCAAACTAAAGCTCTTTGGTGGAGAAGGACAAAGCCCTTGTGAAACTACAACACCCATGGAGGAAAATGCCACCCCTAATATTCACCAAACAAAAGCCCTTGTGAAACTACATCTCCCAGGGAGGAGAATGCTTTCCCTAATCTTCACCGAACTAAAGCTCTTTGGTGGAGAAGGACAAAGCCCTTGTGAAACTGTATCTCTCAGAGAGGAAAATGCTTCCCCTAATCTTCACCAAACTAAAGCCCTTGTGAAACTACATCTCCCAGGGAGCAGAATGCCTCCCCTAATCTTTACCAAATTAAAGCTCTTTGGTGGAGAATGGCAAAGCCCTTGTGAAACTATCTCCCAGAGAGGAGAATGCCTCCTCTAATCTTCACCAAACTAAAGCCCTTGTGAAACTACATCTCCCAGGGAGCAGAATGCCTCCCCTAATCTTTAGCAAACCAAAGTTCTTTGGTGGAGAAGGATAAAGCCCTCACCAAACTACAACTCCCAGAAGAACATCCTCCTGCCCCCAACCCTCACCAATCTACAACTCCCAGCATTCTGTTAAGCTAAGTGATGTCAAACTACTGTATATAGATAGATACGCCCTCTGTCTCATTTGGAGTTTAGTTTTACAAGGTATTTAGTCTGCTCTTTCAAAGCAGAAAACTACAGCTCCCATGATTGCAGTGTTGAGCCACGTAGTGTCAAACTGTACCCATTCTACAATGTGGAGGCACGCAAGTTTGCTCTGCTTTTGTGTACACCAGGCATGGGCAAACTTCGGCCCTGGGCTTCAACTCCCATAATTCCTAACAGCCGGTAGGCTGTTAGGAGTTGTGGGAGTTGAAGTCCAAAACACCCAGAGGGCTGAAGTTTGCCCATGCCTGGTGTACATGATAGAATAAATGCAGTTTAGCACCACTTTAATGGCTGTGGCTTAATGGATTAACGCAGAGCTTGATACCACTTGAACTGTTCTGGCTCAATGCTTGGGAACAATGGGAGTTGTAGTTTGACAAGGTGTTTTGCATTCTCTGTCAATGAGTGCTGTTGTCTCACCAAACCACAACTCCCAGGATCTCATAGTCCTGAGCCAGGGTCGTTGAAAGTGGTGCTAAACTGCACGAATCCTACAGTAAACATAACCTGAGTCTCCTTTGTCAGAAATGCTTTGGAACCCAAGTGTTTGGGATGTCAGGTTTTGGAGCACCTGGATTTGAATGGATGTAAATAATGAGACATAGTACCTTCGTAAGCCACGTTGGATAGAAGGCAGAAGAGATTAAAAATGGATTTCTATAGTTACAGCTATATTAAAAAGGAATTATAGAAGAAGGATGATTAGTGGGTCTTGGGAGATTAGGGTTCAAATCCCCGTTCAGCCAGGGGTGCATCTACACTGCGGAATTAATACAGTTTGACATTGCTTGGACTGCCATGGCTCAATGGTATGGGATTCTGGGAGCTGTAGTTTTACAAAGCCTTTCTCTGCTCAAGAATGTGGGTGCCTCGTAGGTAAAGATTTTCCCCTGACATTCAGTTTTGTCCAACTCAAAGCCGAAGAGCCGGTGTTGTCCATAGGCACCTCCAAGGTCATGTGGCCAGCATGACTGCATGGAGCGCCGTTGGGTGCCTCACCAAACTACAAATCCCAGGATTACATAGCATTGAGCCATGGTGGTTAAAGTGGCATCGAACTGCATTAATTCTGCAGTGTAGATGCTCCCCTAGTTAACCCACTGGAAAAGTCACACTCTCTGACCAAACTGACAACAAAGCAATACATTTAACAATCACAACAACAAAATCCATGTAAATTAGCATTCAGATGCAGCCCAACAATCCCATAAGCCCTCATTGAGTTAAATGGGGATTGCTCTCAAGTAAATGAATGTAAAATTACAGCATTAAATGTGCTTCGGATCATGTATCTTAAGGAAGAAAGTACACACATGTCTATGTTATATTACCATACTTATTTATGTTGTTGTTCATTCGTTCAGTCGTCTCCGACTCTTCGTGACCTCATGGACCAGCCCACGCCAGAGCTCCCTGTCGGCCGTTACCACCCCCAGCTCCCTCAAGGTCAGTCCAGTCACTTCAAGATGCCATCCATCCATCTTGCCCTTGTGCCCCTCTTCCTTTTTCCTTCCATTTTCCCCAGCATCATTGTCTTCTCTAAGCTTTCCTGTCTCCTCATGATGTGGCCAAAGTACTTCAACTTTGTCTCTAGTATCTTTCCCTCCAATGAGCAGTCGGGCTTTATTTCCTGGAGGATGGACTGGTTGGATCTTCTTGCAGTCCAAGGCACTCTCAGCACTTTCCTCCAACACCACAGTTCAAAAGCATCGATCTTCCTTCGCTCAGCCTTCCCTAAGGTCCAGCTCTCACATCCGTAGGTGACTACAGGGAATACCATGGCTTTGACTAGGCGGATCTTTGTTGTCAGTCTGATGTCTCTACTCTTCACTATTTTATCGAGACTGGACATTGCTCTCCTCCCAAGAAGTAAGCGTCTTCTGATTTCCTGGCCACAGTCTGCATCTACAGTAATCTTTGCACCTAGAAATACAAAGTCTGTCACGGCCTCCACATTTTCTCCCTCTATTTCCCAGTTGTCAATCATTCTTGTTGCCATAATCTTGGTTTTTTTGACGTTTAGCTGCAACCCGGCTTTTGCGCTTTCTTCTTTCACCTTGATTAGAAGGCTCCTCAGCTCCTCCTCGCTTTCGGCCATAAGGGTGGTGTCATCTGCATATCTGAGGTTGTTAATGTTTCTTCCAGCAATTTTCACCCCAGCTTGCATTCATCCAGCCCCGCACATCGCATGATGTGTTCTGCATACAAGTTAAAAAGGTTGGGTGAGAGGATGCAGCCTTGCCGTACGCCTTTCCCAATCTTGAACCAGTCTGTTGTTCCGTGGTCAGTTCTGACTGTTGCTACTTGGTCCTTGTACAGATTCCTCAGGAGAGAGACAAGGTGGCTTGGGATGCCCATCCCACCAAGACTTGCCACAGTTTATTATGATCCACACAGTCAAAGGCTTTAGAATAGTCAATGAAGCAGAAGTAGATGTTTTTCTGAAACTCCCTGCCTTTCTCCATTATCCAGCGGATATTGGCAATCTGGTCTCTCGTTCCTCTGCCTTTTCTAAACCCAGCTTGAACATCTGGCAACTCTCGCTCCATGTATTACTTATTTATATAGCTCATTTATATGGCATTACAAGTAATTTTGAAGTCTAGGAAAGAATGCTCCAGGTATTTGGAGGTAAATTATCTGAGTGTTCTTGTAAAATCAAAAAATACATATTGTCGAAGGCTTTCATGGCTGGAATCACTGGGTTGTTGTAGGTTTTTCGGGCTATATGGCCATGTTCTAGAAGCATTCTCTCCTGACGTTTCATCTGCA